TAGTAAGCATTCAAAGTTGTGTCTTGTTAATAACAACCTCTTCCCTAAACTAATGGGGCTGAACTGGAGGCAAAAATACTGCTCCCTTTGAAAAGGATGAACAGTCTAATAAATGACTCCTTTTAAGCAGATACTTTTTTTTTTTTTTTTTCATTGTAGCATATGCAAGTGCTGCCCTAGCTATGACACTGTGAACTTTCTTCTGAATACAAGCAAATATTTATTAATAACAAATGCTCACAAACTCTGCAGTGCAAGGAATAATGCTGCTAGTTTACCCTCAAAGATGAGGAAGTGACTGTGTAAGTCTGGGTGGGGAGCAGACTCCTGTCTCTCTGATTCCTTACCTGATAGCTGCATGCCTTACTTACTGTGTGTCAGGGGATGTATGAATGAATTTCAGTCAGAATGTAATTTGGGCCTCTGTATCTCACAGAGCAATATGATTTTGTTTGTATTGTGGCTAACAAGGCTGTAAATGAGATAACTCTCTGTTTAGTTATCATGACCCAGATAAGCTCTTTTAATGATTAACTGAAAAGAGTAGCTGATGAAAATATGGTTGTTTTCCAAACCTGTTTTATTTATGAAAAAATAAAATCTTATTGATTAAGAAAACAATATTAAGAGCTTTGCATAATTATGATGGGGAATGATGGTTCAACTCCACTAGAATTGTTCAACTMCACTGAAGGTGATTATTATCAATCCTATATTCAAAACACTTGGAAAAATTGTGAGCTTGTATGCAAAAATGAAATAGTTGAAACTAGCTGAAATGAAGGACATCTGCATTGCTACTTGGTTACTGAATTTCATGGATCACATAGAGGGATTTCAATGCAAGCTAAATTGAAATATCCTCGGACTGCAAAATATAAATGTGTTTCTTCTTACCTACTATTAGAATTCATAAAATCATAAAATGGCTTGGGTTGGAACACACTTTTAAGCTCATCAGTTCCAACACCTTCATCTAGGCCAGGCTGCCCAAAGGCCCTGCTCAAACACTTCCAGATGGGGGGCATCTTGTCTGGGCAGCCTGTTCCAGTGCCTYACTACCCTCAGAATTTTTTCCTAATATCTGATTTAAACTTGCCCTCTTTCAGCCTAAAGCCATTMCCCTTTTTCCCATAATGATAAATCTTTTTAAACAGTCCCTTTTCAGCTTTCCAGCTGGCCCCTTTATGTACTCAAAAGCTACAACAAGTTCACCCTGGAACTGCACTTCTCTGAACAGAGCAACCCATCTCTATCAGCTTGTCTTCACAGGAGACGTGCTCCAGCCCTCTCTGATCATCTTGATGACCTCCTCTGGTGTGGCTCAAGAAGTCTTTCTTAAGRTGGGGGTCCCAGACCTAGATGCTGTGCTTTAGGTGAAGTCTCATGCAATGAYTTCAGCAAGGTCTTTGACACTGTTTCTCATAAAAACCTAGTAGGCAAAGTCAAGAAACATGGACTGGGYGAGTGGACAGAACTGTAGTATAAAACTGGCAAGCTCAATCCTTGAGTCACAGATAGTTTTCTTTTTTTGAAAACAATATCTGTATTTCACTGGTTGTGTTAAGAGAACATCACTGCTCAGAAACTACAATTCATAGTGAGAGGAACCCCTCTTTTGGTTGAAGTACAGAACTCCAAGTCTGGGAGAACTGTTCAGCAAAACAAGTTATCCCAGGCTGGTCTCAGACATGTGGAGAGAGATAACAATTGTAGAAAATTCATTTCCCTTTCAATAAGTCTTCCAACAGGAGTTTTCATCTCTGCTTATTCACATTGGCTACTGCTAAATTAAATATTTATATCCTAAGTCTAAAGCAAGTATCAAAAGTGCCATCTAAAAATTCTGTTGTTATACGAAAAGCTCCTATCTCCTACCCCTAATTTGTTTGCAAAAGGAACACTCAGCACACAATAGCACAGTTGGCTGATAATGAACTTCAAGTAAGTCTTTGATATTCATAAACTTCTTTCAACACAGTTCCCAAAAGGAATTCATGTGGATATACTGAATACAAAAGACTATATTTTGATCACCAGCTTCTGTATATTTACATTGAAAAATTACTATAAATTTTAAGGCCACCATGGTGGCTGTTGCTTCTGAGAATTTGAGCATATGATTCTTGTGCTGCCTCATTCTCAATGTCACAGTTTCTTACTTTTCTGCTAAGGATTTTGTCACAGGTTTATGCCTCATGGTGAATTCATAAAATACCAAATGACAGAATTTTGCTCTTGCTATTTCAGTCATTTGACATTACCATATTCTTTTCATCTTTCCCTTGYTGTTTACCCCATAGCCTTTGCAGTAGTTCTCATCTGTGATTATCCCTTTCGTCAAAGAGAATCTCCCCAAAGACACATCTTCCAGGAAGTTTGGCAACATAAAATCTCTATCTGAAGTGTCTATTTTCTGGTTTATCGTTCACATAGCTTAGTGACACTGTGCCCTTAGTCACCTAGTTGCACTGCCTACCAGTTCTTGCTGGGATTGCAAGCTGAGCCATCTGAATGACATGACGAGGCTCTACCTGTCTGGTGTATGGTTCCAGTTACTTCATGGCACAAATTCTGAGAACAGTACAACCAGGAGGACTTCTCAGCAGGAAGGATCTGCACAAGCTACTTTTTGAACTTTCCTCACAAGTAATCAAAAAGCTTAGTTGCATCTGAAAGGGTTTCCAATAATTCTGTGAAGAGCAGGAAAAGCGTTTTTAATATATCTTCCTTCTTAATATAGTGCTGTAGGGCAATGTGTTTTACCTAGGATTTTATATGCTCCAAGAACAAACCTATGCATATTTCTGCACCTATGCCATGAAATTTGTTTCCATGGAAATACCAAAAACGTCTTATAAGTAAGAAGAGGCAAACCCTTTCAAGSAAAATAATATCTAGCTTCAGTCTCCATTCAACAGTCAAAATGAATTGTAGCCATTTTCATGCTTTATAGTGGCTTAATATCTTTGCTATACGCACACAGACCCCAGCTCATCCAGTTCAATGCATAATTTGAGCACAGCAATTCCAGCAACATMTCTGAGAAATCAGATTAAATTAAATTASATTAAATTAACCTTACTATTCTTTGGCTTTTCTTTCTGCCCTTCAATTTATTGGCAAAGAAGAATTTTCTAGATTAATTGGAGAGCTGACTATACTACTTTCTTCATAAACTTTAAAATTGCAGATGATTTATGACTGAGCATAGTGTAAGGATTAACCATTCAGATCAGGGAGAATTAAAAAAGAGCAACAGTAGCTTCCAACAGAGAGTGTCTTGGGTCCTGCTGTCTGCACAGCTTCTCCTGCTGGAGAAAAGAAGCTCACCTCAGGCAGATAGCTGTGGGAGAGCATGTAAAATAGTGTTCACATGCATGAGCATCTTCTCGATCTTGTAGTTTCTTTTGCTGTCATGAATTTTACTGGGTTATAGGCTTACTGAGGTTAGTCCCTTGAAGTTAAAGAAAGAGGCCTATTTTTTAATATCTCTATCYCCAGTTGAAATAACATACTTCTGAATTACTCTGCTATGAGATTAATCACAAAATCAAGAATAGGCATGATATCTGTAACCGAAATGGCTTATGGAGAGCTATTTGAAACCAATGCCCAAAGTTACCTCTTCAAAAAATACATTAACTAAAGATCATGAATATCATTGGTCTACATATATATATATATATATATATATATATATATATATATATATATATATATATATATATGTAACTTCTCTCTATTATTTAATTAATATGATGCAATTCTGTTTATAGGATACTTTCAAAGACTCAACCTTCTGGTCCCTGATGAACCCTACACACAAACGCTCATATTGTATGACGAGTTCCTAGGAGAATAAAACTACACAACTGCCAAGACTGAGTCCCTTTAAGATAAATACGGATATTGTGAAAGGTTAGCAGAAAAAAAACCCCAAAAAAMCCMAAAAAAATATTAATTTTWACATATTCCAGAGCCTAAAGACAAAAATTATTGAACAATGCAAAGCCACACTTGTCAAAATTGTTGAAGTACTATTTTTTCCTACGGGTACAAATATATCATTAAATTAAAAAAGTAAGGTATTTTGAAAATCATGGAAAATTGCATTTCTGGTTTTGGTTTAAGTGATAATTTGTCTGTTTAGTAATTGTCTGTGTACATTCATTAAGAAGCAAAGCAAATGCTTTTTCAGTCTGTCAGAACATGATAGATGAAGTAACTACCTGGAAAATTACACAGCGGAAGAACATGTGGATTAATATGATGCAAAAAATACAAGTTCCAATGCAGTGTATTCCCATAAAGATTTCCAAGACCAAGCTGTTGTAAAAACAAGTGCAAGTACTATGGGGTAAAATTTTCCAAAATATTAATGTAATTTACATTTCCAGTCTTGTTTTTAAATCATTGTTGCCTTAGAAATAATACTATCTTTTCAAAAGAAATCATTTTCTTTTTTTTTTTTTTTAACTCACATACAAATGTTATAGAAATAGGACTTACCATTCTAAATCAGAAAAGCCAGTTTTAAAAATTTTCCTCATTGCATAAGCACGTTTAATGGGAACATTTTGCCTCTATATGGTTACAGAACTCTGTATCCCAAAACGAAAGATCGATGGATTCCTCATATCAGTTTTTTCTACTACATTTCCTTGCAAAAAGTTACTAATGAATGTACTCATGATACACTCACACACTGGTATATAAGGAAAAAGACTAGGAAAGAACTTGAATTAAAGCTGGAGTAATAAGCTAAAGTAATAGAAAGTAATAAGCTAAGTAATAGAAATCAGAAGTTAACCTGAGAGAAAACAAAAAGGCAACATTTTGAGGCCCTACATGAGAGAACACTAAATGTCAACATTTTGAGGCCCTATATGAGTCAAAACCTGTTTAATAAAACACATCTAAGGATATGAAGCAATATAAGTTTATTAGTACAAATTCCAGTTTTCAGTTAAATGTTTTTATAAATAAATTCTTCTTACCTGTGATAGTTGCTTTGTTAATAGACGGTTGGCTACACATTGGTGATCGTCTATTAAAAAGGAAACAAAAAAAAATGTCTAAGCCTGATAAACTCACAGACAACTGAATCCTTGAACAACATAATAGAAAATATATTACCTAGGAAATTATTTGGACTCTGGCCTTTCCAAAGTTCATTCAGAACAGATATTTCTTTCTAGGAAGGGAATTCAGAAATTAAACCTCTCTGCAGATTTGGAACTCCAAGACACGAATATTTAGGAACATTCAGGTTCATTAAAAGCCTGCCTAATCATACCTAGAGCTTATACCTAGTTTGAAATTCATTATAATTGATTTATAAACATACAAAAAGACATTCCTTTCTTTACTACGCTAATTACTTCCAAGTTCTCGAGATGCATATTTTAGGTGAGGAAAGTGACTTCCCTACAACATTTGCCAGTGTAACTAGTGTTAACAGCGAYGCTCTAACAAGAGTGGAGAAAGATTGCATTTATAATACCTCATTTATAGTTTTGAACTACTGTGGATAAGTAGGGTATCATTACTTTGGATAAGTTAGGTAGAGCTGAACGATCAGATCATGCAAGCAGCTCTCAGTGAGTGCAGCTGTCTGTTTCATTTGCAAGACTCAGACTGTGCCTGAATGATCATCTTTGAATGATCTTAGACATATGACTAATTTACTGAAAATCAGGTAAGTTGCAAAAACCTACTCCAAGTTTTGCAAGGACAGCAGTGCAAGATCAATTAGAAGGCAAGGGGGCTGCTGTCTCAGCTGCCTAGTATAACATCTGCAGGAGATTAATAAACTTATTACTCATCAATGTTTCATGCGGGTTTGGTGGCACACACTGAAATCTGTAACATCTAATTGTCTTAGTTTACATTAAAAAAWGATCACTGCAAAAAAGTTCTCAGCAGCTGAAAAATGACACTCACTTGCTGGGTGCCCGGTCTTGTAAATTGGTTAGGGCAGCAAAGTTATTCCGGACAGTACGCAGGCTGGCCAGAACCTGGAACAAAAATAAAAAAAAAAAAAAGTGGTTTCAGTATAAATTTCTGCACAAGTGAGACTGTTCTACCTCTATTTTACTGTGCTGAAAGAAAAATGAAAATACATTGCAAAACCACTGTGAAAGGTTTYCCAAGCTGGTTAGTCTGGAGCTTTTGCTATTATTTAACAATAATATGTCTGTAATACAAGGGAAGTAGTTTGTTTCTGGTTTTTTTTTGGTTTTTTTTTGCTCCCCTCATAAACAACTCTATTTGTTTGAAGGCAGGCTGACTTGCAGGGGAGGAAAGTCTTTTACAGAATACTACTTATTTCTTTAAAATGACAATAAAAGCATTTGAATTTAGAAGATAATAGCCCCTTCAAGCCTAATAGTTCATGTATAAGAAATAATTACAGAATCTTCATTTGCAGTTCAGTACCCATTAACTCCAAAGACAACAGAAATGAGATTTTCTAGACCGCCAGGAAAAGTAAAAGTGTTTCCTCTAAAATGCACAGCTGATTTGGGGACTTAGTGCAGAAGGCCAGAGAAAAAGTATCCCCTAAGAAGGTGGGAAATGTCTTCAGGCTCTTACAAGCTTCACACTTTGGGAAAGACAGCCCAGAGGAACTACTTCCTTTCTGGACCTAATTTCATGTGAGCCAGCAGACAGTGAATGCAGTAGAGGAGTGTCTTGTTATAAGTAGCATAGGCACTCTCTTCTAAAGGCACTCAACAAATTTAGTTCTGTGTAAGGGCAAATTTAATTAATGTAATTACATGAACCTCTCTAACAAGGGAGAGGTAGTTCAGCTGATGTCAGAAAGGCATCATGAGCTGACTGGAACTAGGCTGCAAATGGGAGAAAGCAGCAACACTAATCACTGCTGTATCTTTGCAGAAGTTGACCATTTTTGTTTCTCAGCCCATTCTGGGCTGGTTTCCTGCTGAACCCATCTGAGGAATAACAAAAGCAGGAATGGGAAGCTGGGTTTCAGAGGTCTGAGTTGTGGGAGTGCACAACCCTGTTTTCATAGCACCTTAAATTCCTACCTAGGAGGTAGGAAAAGGTTAGGAGACTGAAGAAAAAGGAATAAATGAAAGCTTGTAACAAAAAATATTCAAGAACTAGCAATGTCTGGCAGTGTTTAAGCTTCGGATGCATTTACAAATGAGTTAAGATAACAAAAAAACCAAATGTCTAACTAAAGAGTATTATTTTAATTATGTTTTTCGTTCCAAAATCAGGAAGCAAACTGACTTATTTTTCATTCAGCGTGGATGAAAAATAATTATATATGCCATCAATTTTGCATGCTCAGGGTACAGTGGAGATTTCAGAGTACCTTTATAAAAAGCCCTTACTTAATCTTTTCTCTGCTAATAGAAGATGATGGCTTTATTCGTATAAATAACTTGATTTCAAATTATCAAGACTTCATCAAGTCCTATAAATACATCTTATTACAACATAATTTAATATATAATAAATTATTCAATAAATTTTAATTTAACAGCTTATTATTTGACCAAAGCAACCTGCATACTGGCTGAAGCTGCCAATTTATTCTTATCTGAGACTACTCTGTGGCTCAGCCTTTCTCTTTCCATTCACCTTCACATATGACTTCATAATTGCAGTGATTTGTCTATCATTCCTATCTATCTCACAGTTAAACCCATCATCATGAGTTCAAAGAATAGCAATGTTAACCTTTCATACTTTATAAGACATCTCTATTGTGAAAAATTGTGGCATTTTTATCTGAATTATAAAGAATTTTGAGCTGGTATTTCAGAAACCAGAGCCTGAATAGAAAAAACAAACACAKTTTTGCAAGGATCATAAGTGTTCTGGGTAAAATTTATCTCATGTCTAAAAATCACATTGTGTTTGATGCTTAAATGATGTTTAAGTGGAGAAATTATAATTAGGAAAAGTAGGAGTATAACAGGAATCAGAGATTTGTCTTAATCATGACTGCCTGCTACAATATTTGGAAAGAGATCAAAGGTGTTTATCATGATGCTGCACTTCAACTTTTCAAAAAGCATTAAGAAAGAGAGGTATAAATGAAAGAGTGGGAGGTTTTTGACTTTCTCTTGAGACACTTTTTTTTTTTTTCAAGTGAGCACATATAATAACAGCAACGGAAAATAACTGGTTTGGTCATTTTTGTCTTCAAATTACAAGACCATGTGAGAAATAGAGCAAAGCTGTGCCTACCTGAGCAAACGGCGTCACAATCAAGTCATCTCCATGTCTGAAAAAATGAGCAGAGTTCTAAGTTAGATATTACCAAAAAATTGCTACTTTAACAGAAAGAAAATAAGGTTTTACAATGCACTACAGGTAACTCCAGCTTTATTTTTCTGCAGTTACACTCTATTATTGTTTTACACATCCTTCGAAAAGCAAGCATCAATTTAGTTATTGCCCAGCTGCCTGTCAAGTCTATGGGACGGTTGATGGACCAGCCAGTTTCTGTACTGTGGGTTGGGAAGATGACTATCCAAATAGGACTTAATCTTCAGAGATTTCACCCCGAAGGATAGAGGTGAAAGTTCCCAAAGCAACTCTGTTGAGGGTTGTCAGCAGGCTTGTGAGGAATGATCAGCTGAGTAACTGTGGGTGGCAGGGCAGCCCATCACAGATGAATTAAAACACAGTAAAACTTGACTGGCTGAGACTTCTGTAGCAACAGGACGTGTGACCAAGTGAGTTTGCTGGGGCAATCTCACTTACAGGGGAATAATGCCAAGATGACASACTGCAGGGGAAAAGGGAAGAAGAGAAAATGGGGTTCCTTCTCTTCAGCACGGAAAACTGCCACTTGGAATGGTTGTCAAAATGAATSCCCAACATATGACACAAATGCACAAGATATTCACCAGTGCCACAAAGCACAAGGCAAGTCCTGAGTCATAGTTGTAACTGTCAAGYTCAGATTGGAAAAAAATATGAAAATAAGATTATCCTCCTTCTCAAAATATCTTGTGGGCTTCCTTATTGTAMTTAGTCCTTCCTGTTCTTTCCATTCAGCCCCTATTTGCCACACCTTGAATACAGAGGCACTTAAAAAGGTAACAACTATATATTCTTGGCTTTCTGCCCTGGAGGACTGTTTTCTTCCTCTTATGTATAATAGCATGATGCCACTTTTCTAATTTTCAAACTTCATTCTATTTGAGCTGTTTTTGGACTGCATTTCATTGGAGAACACTGATATCATACTGTAGCTCATTATTCTTTAGAAGAGACATGATTTAGTGGTAATTTATTGTGCTGAAATCAAGCCAGGACTTAATTTTCACTTTTCAAATCCTGCTTATGTCAAGAGCAACAATTCCAGAAATTATCGTTATTTTGGTGAATCTGATACTGAAAGTACAGMTATCCACAGCTTTAGCAAAATAATTATTGCTCTCACTAGACCCACTTGAACTGCAAAGCAATTTTAAAAATTGTGAATCTTTGATCCACATTGGGTCAGAAAATCTGAACAAAGTGAGAGTGTTCAAAAATGGAGCAGATGTGTCCAAAGAAACTGTGCTGATTGTACAGAAGAGAGAGYACATATGTTTCAAAATGCCATTGATGCACAGTGTACTAAACAGTGTAATAAACACTGCACTGTATGAGTGTCCTCCTGTTTCTAGATGACATGGGAGCTGATGGGTGATTCTGGATTCTGGACAGGATAGTGCCACATATCTGTATACAGAAGTAGCAAAAGGGAGTGTAAATCCTGCAGTATGTCACAAACTTCTAAATATAGACAGAGGTATTCAGCTTTTAAAGGTAGAATAAATAATTTACATCAGTTAAACTGTTAACTAGAATKTCTGACATACTTATTCACATCTTCAATTTTCAAAGGAAATACAAAGGTTTGAAAGCACAATAATTTTCTCATAGCCCCAAAATTTAGAATGATCAGTTCTCTACCATCAAAGAACACTGCTAAAGCACACAACAACCTGCATGAGATGAATGATTGTTACATAAAAAATAGCCAAATTTTCTTTACCAGACCAAAGATTATACACCTCATTGCAAGCTCTTTGCCACAGCAGTGATGAAGCCTAGACTTCTGAAATTTTTCTTGTTTTTGTTTCCTAACATTTCCTATATGACATACTTGAACTCACACCATATAACCTATGCTGAACCCCATCCTGGAGAAGAGATGAAGGTGCTGTATTAGGTCAGAAGTTAGTTCAACATGTTCAGTACAAAAGTTCTTCTTCCTTTCCTCAGGATTAGCATGAATTTTTCTCTTCTAATTACAGAACAGTAGTTAACTTTTCCCCTACTAACAAGGAATTTAGAGATGCATGGACATACGGAGAAGCAGACAGGAAGGTTAACACAAGGATAAGTCAGGGTGACTGTTTAACCTTTACTACRTAATTAAACTGTCATAATTTAATATAGCATCTAATGAGAGGAGTAACTAGGGAGATATTCTGCAGACCTGACAGGATACTGCTAAAGAAGAGTGGATTTTTTTTTATGATGGCCAGAAAAAAATCAAGATATCCACCAAGGAGAAGAAAATCTCAGGCTTTGGAGACCACTAGGAGTGTGAAGTACTTGCCTCTGTGGAGATTCACAGGGAAGGTCCTCAAGGTTTGTCTTTGTAAAGGCCATAGTAAACACAGATTAAGCTCTTCTAATCTTTCTATTACTATACCAACTGAGTGATCTTGGGAACATGTGTTGAAGTTGTGAGATATAAACGGATAAATAAGAACCCTGTCTTATGTAAATTGAGGGGAGAAAATGTATCACGCGTAGTTACACCAGTTTGACACAAATGTACCAGCTCACAGCATGTTCCAATTGGCACATATTACCAGTTAAAGAATTATCTTACTGGTTTGCCACACTCCTCCATTTGAATCAAAAACTCACTAATATCCCCAGCAGAAGTACTGACTGAKGATGCCAGTCAGGTCTTAAATCCAACTGTCATCATCTATGTTGGATTCTCTGACTACAAGCTTTGGGCACGGCCCATTTGAAAGAATAAAGCTGCCCACAGAATTGAGCAGCCCAAGGGACAGTGGCTGTATGGAATTCTTGAATGATGCTTCACATCAAGAACTGAGGCTTTCATCACATTGTCATATGAATTTACTCCATTTTTAAAGAATTGTATTTGGACGCCCTTTTTTTTTTTTTTTTTTTTTTTTTTACTGTACGAATAAAGCAAGCGTAAAAGTATGGGAAAATCCATACTGTCTATATACAATATAAGAAAATAAGAAAGAAGGGATTCTTCTCTTTATGTCAGAAAAATATTGCAGCCTCCTTTTGCAGTGTAAACATCTAGATTTGGATATAAACAGAGCATCCATTAATTTCTGTATACAAGGCTTATTCAAACTCACTGTCCAATAGCATATCAGAAATGCATCTTAGATGAGACATTTGTGTTTTGTTTCCATTTATTGTGGAACACAATTATTCCAGATGCAAAGCACAAATGAAGGACAGAGAGTAAGCTGATAGAGTATCCTAACTGCTAGGTTTKTTTTCTGTCCCAATAATATTTCATAGGTGAAGCCAAATATGCACAAACAAAACATATGAATTAAGTATGCTGAAATATTTCTCAGATTCAGATTTTAGCAGCAATGAAAGATGATTCTAGATTCCACCCTGATAGAAATGGAAACATCATATAATAGTACTAGAAGCTGTGCTTTGAGAACAGTGAGCAGTGGGTGCCTGCTCCATGCAGCTTGAGCTTTATCATCACCTGTATTTGGAAAATTCAAACGGGCTGGTTTGTAATACTGATTTTTTGGAATCAGAAATCAGTGCTCCAAGTCAGCCTATTCTGCAGGAAGAGTGCTTAAGTCATGTCATCTCAATTTTTAAAGACTTTGAGAACAATGTTCTACTCCTGAGATAGTTTGGGCTTTGTTTGAAAAGCCAAGAATGAATAAGTGGCAGCTCTTAATGTTTTGCCCACATTATGAAATGGGGTTACAGCTTCTCCTAGATAGCCAGTGGGTTATTAGTGATTTGCACCTCTTTGAAAGGATAAGTACAGTCTGGGGGAGGATCCGGCATCTAAGACAGGGGCTAGAGACTATGACACTGTGGGTAGGCTGGGATTTTGAGCTGAGAGAGCAAGCAATTAAAATTGATGTTTGAGCCATGAGCTGTAGAGGAGTGGGTTGTTTTTTCCAGAGCACTTATTTATTTCTGCGAACAAGTACGTAAAAGGATTGTTAAAAAGAGCTACTTGAAACCACAGAAATTAAATCCTGAATGAAGCAGACTCTCATCAACTATTATCTGAGTGTTTCAGAACACCACAATTTTCTATAACACTGTGCAGTTATGTCCTTCTGATACATCTGTCTAATTCAGAAACGCAGCTTGTCCTAATTAGTAAAAAAGTATATTGGGAGTTCAGTACAGTTCATTTAACTGAGCTTAACCAGATGAAGGAGGATTGGTTTGGAAAATCTACAGCACCAGAGAAGAAAGTCCACTATCCCTGCCAAAAGAAAGTCTGATWATAGTAATTCTCCTTGGAGTGTCTAACTAAGCAAGTGAGACTTTGAAAGACACACCAAAGGGAGAAAMCATTTCTCCAGCACAAATCTCACTACTAAAAACTTAGATATAAGCATTTCCAAAGACCCTGACTGACTTCATAGGGAGCACAAATCAAGTTACTCTACTGTAACATGTTGATGAAGAAAATAATTCTTGTCTGCCTTACAATCCGAGATCCAAAAAACCCCTCAAAACAAGTGTAGTTTATTACATCTGGCTAATATGCATACGTTATATACTAAAATAATTGGAATTTTATAGATACAGTTAATATTTTGTACAAGAAAGTAGTTTGAATTTTCATGTAATCTTTTTGGTATCTCAGGTCCTGAACATACATTAGATTAGGTCTGAAAGAAGCTTTTCAAGTTTTGGAACCTGCCCTRTTGCAGCCATCACTGTTAGGTTACCCAAACTGCAATCTTGAATTCAAGTTGCACTACACTAGCACCTAAAGTGAGCAGCTCTCTCAAGACTTGGAAAGACAAAAAGATTTTGTCTGTTACAGACTAAGGAACTAGAAAGGAGCAGTGTTAGCAATTCCAAATCAGMGCTTCGAGGTTTAATCCAGGGACTATCAGCTAATATTATCCAGCTACCTGAGCACCTTACTGTGCATCAATAGCACCATTTCACAGCACCTGTGCTTTTGAACAAACTAATAAAAAGATGTTGCTGGGATAC